TCAAAAGCCTGATTGGGCTTATTATCTGGGAAGGTCTTATTTTCAGGGAGGGCTTATTATTTTTGAGTTGCAGGAGGCGGCGAGCATGGTCACTTCATGGCTGCTGCTATGTTGCAATATTTTTGGAAAAGGCTTATTTTTGGGGGAGGGCTTATTTTAGTGCATGCGCTCAAAAGCCTGATTGGGCTTATTATCTGGGTAGGTCTTATTTTCAAGGAAACAGGGTACTGCAAACCCAGTCCTAGATATTCAATTGACCTTTTACTGACGGTGTCCAAACAAAAATAAGTTATGCGGTAGCATTTTTAAAAATAAATCATTAAGGGAAAAAAATTATAAATTATAAGTTATTTCCCTATTACCCCAGTTGGTCCCAGATGAATTTACAGAAATCTGGAGGGTGCCACATTAAGGGAAGTTTCTTTAGATTATTCCTAATGAATCCCGGAATTGTGATCCACTAATGGAAACAAGTTTCCTTAAGTTATAATATTAAAGTGCAACAAGTATTTGTGGAACTAAAATGTAACTAATGCATCATGCAAGCTAGTTAACATGACTGACAAATAATACTCAGTCTCCATGAAAAGACAGCTGAAATTATATGATTATATACCCAAGTCCTTATATGGCAGAAGTATCCATTATTAAGTAACATGATCATTTTTTTCCATAAAAGATCAGCCTTGCAGTTAGAGCAGGGGGGGGGGGGAAACCCTGGAAACCAGCAAGGAAAAGAGGCAGCTCATTGCATGAAAAGCACACTATTCCCCCCCCCAAAGAAATAACATTTGTAATTTTGATATTGCTATTTATTTCACTGCACATATGCAATGCCACAGACACAAAGTTAGAGCCAGATGTTGCCACATTTACCCAGTTACTATAATCTAAACTACAAAAATAACTTGTGTATTGTATTTCAAGTTAATATAATAGCAATCTAACAGTAGGAAAAAAAGATAGAGGGGCTGCAAGAATTATCACTTAAAAAAACACAACCTATTAATCCTTTACATTAATTGTTTCATAATTTATAAACACCCATGCAAATAAAGTTCGCCTAAAAGGCTTACCTTGGAAGATTTTAAATAACAACAGCAGAAATTGCAGATCTAACTCAGATCAAACGCCTTCAGCCTGACAATGAATTTCTACACTTGTACCCACAGTGGAAAATATTTTAGGCGTGGCTGAACTTGTTTACATGTTTGGTCACATTTCACATTCCACCCCCTTTCACTAGCGGCACAGACGGGGCTAATTTTACTCTATGACAAACTAGCTGGTGCTGCACTAATGCTTTAGGAGGTGAAAGGCTGGATATAATTCGCATTTTCAAAATAGCACACACCTCTTATTAGAATGTTACTCACACTACCCTGAAGAGGGGAGAAAAATCCTATCGAACTGTTAGCTATTAAAAAAAAACCCACTTAATTTTGCTCATACTCAGTTTATTGAAATAAAAGTTCAGAGATTGTTGTATATATACAACAACAGCACACAACTTTTGAGGAAACACAAACACACAAGTAATTTAGAACAGGGCTGTCAGACTCCTGCCCCATGGGTCAGATGCGTCACACGCTGGCCACACCTACGCCCGGTTTAGTGAAGGGGGAAAAACACATCAGTCACGTGACTTACAATGTGAGTTTGACACCCCGGATCTCGAAGTATATGCTTACCCAAACTAGGTAAAACCAAGGCTAAGAAATAAGTAAGCTCCGGAGAAAAACTATATCTGATTTAACTGAAATATATACTGAATGCAATTACCCTGCAACTATTATTTCCTAATTTTCCTGTTCTGTGAAATTAAGATTTATTAATAGTGAGAAACCTTCTCAATTTGGAGCAATGTGCAAATGGCTGGGCTAGGGGTTTCAAACATTTATTTATTGAACAAACTCATGCAGTCTTTATTTAGGAAACCCAACTCGGAAGGCTCACAAGAGTTATATAAAGCATTAAAATAAAATAAAAACAAGGAAGGAAGAAAGGAAGGGAGGAAGGGAGGGAAGAAGGAAGGAGAGCACATGTTATCAACATTTAAGTACAAATTTTCCCTTCACTCACAAACACATACAGTATATACACAGAGAGACAAAATGATCTTAGCTTTTTTCCCTTTCTCAAAGCCAGGAGTGGGAATCTTTCAGTGGCAGGTCAGGATATCCATTTTGGGTGGTGGCTGCGGCTATAATAATTGGGTAGATAATATAAAGTGGATAAAACCAAGATTTTCTGTGGATTTTTGCCTGGAAAGGCTGTTGGGGGGTGGGGCGAAGTTTGTGAGTTTTTCTATGAGCCAATACTACAAAGGTTTTCACACAGTGAATCACACCTCAAAATGTCAGGTTGCTAAGTCTAATCTTTAGCAATAACTATAATAAAAATAGCTTCAGGGGCTGCAAAAACAGACTTCAGCATTTTTAAGAAGGACATTGGAAACACAAGAACCATTCCTTCTCAACAATTTATTAGTTTTCTACTCCCGTTAGCAGCAGGAAAATTATAATGCGGTTTGCTCCAACAATTGGTAGGCTGACTGGTGAGAATCTTTTCTGCTACTAATGACACGCTATAAGGAAGATTTATTCCTGCCAATTCTATTATCTTTTTGTTTATAGCTCTCTAATTGCTGGCAACTTAACAGGGTACGCCTTCCTATGATCAATTGTCTTTCAACAATACAGATAGTCTTTAAATTACGACCAATTGTTTAGTGACCATTTGAAGGTACAGTGGCACTGAAAAAAGTGATTTGCAACCTGTCCTCGCAATTAAAAGTGTTGCCGTGTCCCCAGGATTGAATGATAGCAATTAGGGCACTTGGCAACTCTTGTACATTTACAATGGATGCAGCATCCAGCAATCTTACGATTGCTATTTGAAACCTTGCCAACTGGTTTCTGACAAAAACAGTCATTGGGGAAGCCGGCAGGAAAGGTTACAGGTTGCAGTTCACATGATGTTTTGCTTAACAACCATGACAATTTGTTTAACCATTGTGTCAAAATTGTTGTAAAATTACACTGACATCAGCAGAAAGGAATTACAGCCAAATTGACAAGGAGGCTCTAGCTGCAGTGTCAGGA